GTAGCCTTACAGCAGAATGCAGTCAGTTTCTTTACTTCTCTGTGGAATTCCTATTTCCTGGCTATTCACCACTTTCTTGTTTTTCTCTATATAATCCCAGTGTCTTTCAGGTTCCAGTCGTTTAGTTCATGCTGGAAATAAATTCTTATACAGATTTAGGGTAAATAATGCTTTCTGTATAGGGAATCAAAAGGGGAGATAGAGGTCTTTTCATTCAACAAATACTGAATGTCTATGATGTTCCAGGGCACTATTCTAGGAGCTTGAGATACACAAGTGAACAAAACAAAACAGTCCCTGCCTTTGGGAAGCTTATTCTAGTTGGAGAAGACAGATGCAAAAACAGAAGTCAATTAACATGGTGTTATTAGAAGGTGGTAATTGGTATGGAAAAATACAGAGCAGGGAAAGGGGACAGGTTTCAGTTTTGAATAGGGTAGTCATATATTAGGTCTTTGGAGAAGATAACATTTGAACAAACACTTGGAGACAGTTATGCTTTATCTAGTGGAAGAGCCCCACCTGTGTGTGTGAGGAATGCCAAGGAGGCCAGTGTGGCTGGACTGGAAAGAGGGAAAGGGAGAGTACAGTATTAGATTAAGTCAGAGAAGGGTGTGGGGGGCAGATGGTGTGGATCTTTGTAAGGATATGAACTCTTATTCTGAGTGAATCAGAAAGTTATTGGAAAGTTTCAAATAGACAAATGGCATGATCTAGTTAAAATTTTAAAAGGATTACTTTGCTGCCTTCATGGAGAGTAGAGGGTAAGGGAGGAAGCAGGGGTTGAAACGACGAGACTAGAGGTATGTTGTGGTATTCCAACTGGTAGATAATGGTGACTCAGACTATGGTGATAGTATTAAAGTTGGTGAGAATTAGTTGGATTTTGGATTTGTTTTGAAGGAAGAATCAACAAGATTTTCTGTCTCTTGGACGTGGGGTAGAAAAGAAAAAGATCATGGAATAGGCAGACGTATGGGGCCGCCTTTGCAAAGATGTGGAACTTGAACTGAGCATTAAATAATGAGTATGACTTACTGGGAAAAGGAAGAAAGGTCACTTCAGTTGATTACATTTTACAACTTGTCTTCCCCCCCAAATCTGTGGGATTGCAGATAATTAAATACTATAAGTGAAGGCAAGGATGGGAGTACCCAGAGCCTGCCCTTCTCCTTTGGGTTTAGCTGTGGATGTGCATAGTTTTTCAAATCTGCTGTAAGTGACTGTAAGATCAGCATTCCTTTAGATGTTATTTTTTAAATGGTGTTATGCATAAAGTTCTATGTTAGGTCTTGAGGACACTATAAGGAGTTTTTATTTTAGTAGAAGAAATGAGTCTGTAATTGTATTACTTAACAAGTAATGCAAGAAATGTCATTGAGAATGCCGTTGGGAATTTAGCAGTGGAAAAGAATAGTGAAAGCTTGGTGGAGGATGTAGTATTTTTCAGGTGGAC